AAGCAGGAGTTAAGGATTATTTTTATATTTCTGGTTCAGGCAACTGAGTAAATGGTTGAAGTCATTCATGGAAACTGGAAACACTGAAAAAACACTGGAGAACTCACTATGAGTTTAAGGTACTTTACGTTTACCACGTGGAGTTGTCCAGTAAGTAGCTAGATACAACTCGGGAGAGAAGCCCAGGCTGGAAATACAGATTTGAGAGTCATCAGCCATAGTTGGCAATTTTGGTCCCGGGGAAGCTCAGAGCCAACAGGGAGGAGAACTGCCCTGGGAAGCTAACTAAGTCTTCCTTCAACAAATATTTGATTCTAAGAAGTACACTCTCATGGTTTCCTTAGACATTTCTGCGTTATTCTCCACAATTTGGAGGAAGTGGAGATGGATACAGGCAGAGAGATTTTTGACAGGCAGGGTCAGAACAGTTGTCATAGCTTTTACAGCAAACTGAGAAAGGATTACGGAGCGTGCGGTGCTAGAGGAAAGTGGCCGCTGTTGAGATAGATGACTTGGGGGCTGGCAACAGTTGGAAAAGCAAGGTCAAAGCGGTTGCTTCTACGTGAACAAAAAAGCAATTCTGCCAGCCGTTAGGATTTGGGGCATGGGTTCCACCCAAACTTGTCACGGAGATGGGGCGATATAAAGTGGCCGAGATTATTATAAGAGACCCTAAGAGTCAAAGGGCTAAAAACAAGAGAATCTGAAAAGATTAGTTACTTGGGAAAAGACAAGTGAACCAGCAGCGAGGCGGGGTGGCTGAGGTTAGGTCGGGCTGGTTTTTCCGTCCATTTATACACAAAGGGAAACTGGTTTGCCGCCCCCTCCCACACACCGGAAGCAGAACCTTTGCACTTCGGCGCATTACACATTCCTCCGCGCCGGAAGAGCGCGTCTCACCTCATTTCCGTGTGCTTCCCCCACCCCCCAGGAGAGATCATGGAACCTCCCAGGCATGCCGGTTGAAGTCGTAGGACAGCGCGGAGTTTTCACGGACGTGGAGACCAGGAACAACACTGAACTGCCGGGAAAGGGGGGAAGAAGGAAGGTCGTAGGACGAGGCGTCGTGCTGCTGCGGAGGGATTCTGTTCTTGGCGTGGCGGAGGGATTTGACAGCACGTTCACTTCCGGAAAAGTCCCAGCTCTGTGAGGCGAAGCCCCGAAGGAAACAATAACAAACGAAGGAGGAAGCGATTCTGCGGTTCCTGTGTTGAGCAGTTCTGGTCCCAGAAGATGCGCTTCGGCCCCCGTCAGGGAACGTGAGAGAGTTCGGTGGGCTTCAGCC